ACACAGTGGCAACAACAAAAACAACTGCTTAGCTGTATGGCCTTAGGCAAGTGACTTACCCTCTCTGAACTCTGTCATCCCAATTTTATCAATGATGAGTGTTAACAGGCCTCCTTCAAGTGTGAGGATTAGACACGAGGATGCATGGAAATGCTTGACACAAAGTGAGCGAGCAAAGCATGTGAGCGATTATATCCAAACTCTCTTTTTACTGGAACTCTTGGCCAGAGTGAGAAAAAAAAAAATCCCAAGCAATTCCTACCTTTGTCTTTGTCCATTTAACTACCTTTATTTCCCAAACAACTGTGTGACCAGGTTTGGGTGGAGGTAATGCAATTTATTTTAAGATGCAATGTGTCCCTCTGGGACCTCTGTCTTTCTGTGACCACCCAGGTAAGTCAAAACACTTCCTAAATTGCTGGCTGACTCCTCCAGCCCCTGAGGACACTGCCCAGGAGCCAGTTTACTGAAGGGGCAGCCTTGGCTCAGATGGCTGTGGTTTAAAGACAAAAGAAAAGTGCGTTTTAAAGGAAGGGAATAGGTTTGGCTTATTCCTGTTGTCTTAAATGGAGATCAGCACATTCATGGGCAGCAAATTTTGCATATAAAATCCAGCTCATGGAAACCTCTGGGTTGCTAATGCATGTTTGCAGATAGAGCGACCATAATGAAATGGCTGCTTTTTAATGATTTCCTATAATAATGTTTATATATGGAAGCTCTTTTCCCTATTGAAGCAATTTCATTGGAAATGGCAGAGGAGTCCGAGGCGGCAGACGTCCAGTTCCGGGAACACACAAGGGAACTGCACTCTGCTGCCGCCGTAATGAGCCTCCGTGCAGTCCCCAGGGCCTTCCCTCGGTGAGGACCTGGCAGGTGCGGGCCCTCTGCCCACAGCACTTTCCCCCTGCCTCCTGCTCTTCGCTTGCATTGCTCCCACTTGCCCCTCAGTTTAAACGTACCTTAAGTGAGACTCATTCCCCAGTGCTCCCGTCTGAGTGTGTCGCTAGGAGCCCTGTCTACCTTCTGTTCTGGTCCTTACCCCCACTGTTGGTCATTCCCTGTTTCCTTGTCTACATCCCCCAAAGAATGGTGAGCTCCAAGATGGCATTTGCTGCTACTCAAATATCTGGGTGCCTACTATGTGCGGGCACCGTTACGCTGGTAACCAGGACAGCTGCTGCACGGAGCCTGCAGTCTAGCTGGAGAGACTGACAGAGGCTGGAATACAGAACGAAATCCATGTGGACACATGACATCATCACGTGGTGCTAAGTGCTATGAAGAGGAATCAAGCAGGGAAGGGGAGAGCGTGCCCGCGAGGGTGAGTGAGTAGATGCTGGCACTGTAACCGGGGTCAGGGCCGGCCTCGGAGGAGGAGGCAGCTGCTGGCTGTGGAGAAGGCCAGGCTGGACGGCAGGAAGGAGCAGACAGGCTGAGGGACAGTGAATGCAGAAGCCCTGGGGCAGAGGAGGCTGATCAGTTTGAGGGTCAGTGAGGCCAGAGCTGGAGGAAAAACAAGGATAGCAGGGGAGAATGAAGTTTGAGGTGGGGGACACCCAGGTTCTGGGGAGCCCTGTAAACCACAGAAGTCGTCAGTATGTCACTCTAGGTATGAGGGATTGGAGCATGGGAGTACCTGAGGGCAGATTCTGTCTTATATCCCCAGTCCCTCGCACAGTTCCCCACGAATTTCTGAATAAAGGAATAAAGGCCCCTACTCTGGACAGAGAACATATACAGGCACTGGGCAGACAGGGTTCCTTCCCCCCAGCAGCTCAGTTTCATCAGGAAAGAGACTACCACCAGCTATCATGAAATATACATATTTAAAAAAAATTTTTTCTTTACTGACTTTTAGAGAGAGAAGAAGAGAGAGGGAGAGAGAGATAGAAACATCGATGAGAGAAAACATCAGTTGGCCGCCGCCTGCATGCCCCCGACTGGGGATCGGGCCCGCAACCTGGGCATGTGCCCTGATTGGGAATCAAACCAGCGACCTCTTGGTGCATGGGTGGACGCCTAACCACTGAACCACAGTGGCTAGGCGAACATATGTTTTTTTGATGAAGGAAAGGATGCAAAGAAATGTAGAGCTCAAATTACAGACGCTCTCTCATGTTGGGAGCCCTCAGAAGTCCCATAGTAAAGATGCCCAGTCCACTTAAGTGGCTTTATCCCTCCATTTCCCAACCTTATTTGAGTAAGAAACTTGGTTGGAGTGTGGGTCACTTATTTAATTTCACAGAACATAATGTCAGAGATATGAATGGAGGGATCAGTATAGGAACATCTGTTGTCGTTGGGAACTTCTTGGCTGCTTGCACTTGTCTGTCCCCCAAGGCTGGGAGACAGAGTCCAGCAGCCAGGGCCACGGGGTCAGAGATTACGAGGCTGGTATAACTTAGCATGTAGGACCTCAGCCCACAGATGCGGGGGAGGCTGGAGTCTGGGTCCAGATTTGCAGGAGGCGGTTTCAGCCTGAAGCCAAGACCTCAGGCCTGGGGAGGTGTCCCCCACTCCGCAACCCCTTTCAGTCTGGCTCAGTTGATACCAGCTCTCAATGACCTTGATGTAGCTAAATCTGTCTCAGTTGGCTTTAGCAGCAAGCCAGCTTGCTGACCTCTTCTTCCTTATTGGAGCCTTCTCTGCCCCACCGGCATCGGGCTCTCCTCAGTTCCTTTGTGTAGCTTTGCTTCACTCGTTAATTCAAAGCAGCATCTCTTGACCACTTACAATGTGCCGGGCCCTGGAGCTCTGGAGATACACCAGTAGATGAAACAAGCATGCTTCTGCCCAGTGGAGGTTAGTGGGACAGTCAGCCAAATGAAATACAAATACATCATGTAAGATTTCAGTGTGATGCAGGGAGGAATCGAATGGGGCAGCGACAGAGTCAGCACAGGGACTTGCACACACTGCTGCTCAAGAGATGCTTCTGAAGGAGGAGCATTTGAACCCAGACCACAATGATGAGAGGCCCATCCCTGCCAACGAGCTCCTGCTGAGTCTCCTTATCAGCCGGTGGCCCCCAAACCTTAGTCTTCAGGCTCACTGCACTTCCCACTCTGTGCATAGATTTTCACCGCTTCAGGAACTATCTGTAAATACCTGAAGACTCCTAGCTGCCTTTCTTCAGCCCACGTCTCTCCTCTTGGCTTCTCACTTACACCTACTGCCTTCCCAAGCACCTCCACCCAGATTGTCTCCAGAGCCTGTCCAAACAAAACACATGATCTCCACCCTACCCCACCCTCCCCTTAAACAAAACAAAACAAAATTGAAAGCAAAACTACCTGGTCCTTTTTCCTATGTTCCCTTACTGGTGACTGGCCCCACTGTTTACCTACTGTGTGGTCCAGACATGTACGTACGGACCATCACCGCACACGTGCCTCCTTCTTCACCCTCTGTTCCCAATCCTTCAGGAAGGTCTTACCCTTTGATACCTTTTCTACACCCATCTGCTTTTCTACATCTCAAATGCCAACACCCTAAATCCCAGCAACACTTCTGCTCATCTTCACTTTTTCAGTGGTTTCCCAGTTGGCCTCCTCCCCATTCGCTCTTGATCCACTGATTCTTTCTCCTCACTTCAGAATGATCCATTCGGAATGCAAATATGATGGTCTTTCCCCTTCCCTCCCACTATGAACATCTTCCCGTTGGGTCCTGTGGATCTCTGAGTGGAGATCAAACTCTCTAACACAGCCTATGAGACCCGGCAGGATCTGGCTCCTGCGGTCTTCTCCAGCCTCCACCTCACACTCTGTGCCCTTCATACACAATCATCTTTTGTCACCTCTTGGAACGCACCTGTCCCCACCCCCTGCATGCCATCTCCTCTCTTACCTGCTTAATTCCTACATATCTTTCAAATCTCAGTCCAAATGTCACTTCTCCAAGGAAGCTATCCTGAAAATCCTAAACTTAATCCAATTCCTTTGATACACTCTCATGGTACCATGTTCCTTAATGTTGTAGACTTAGAGGTTTACAATGAAACATAAACGTGTAATGTTTGATGTGAGTCTCTTCAATGAAATTTTAGGTTCTATGAAAATTGCACACTTACTCTTCCTTCTCTGTTCTTACATCTCCCCTACATGTGAACATTTCCTAAGATATGGGTCTCCTCCTTCTTTTGACTCCCCACCCTTTTGACCGTAGGGATCTCCTTACTTCATAACTTCAAAGCCTTTATCCTCAACCTCAATCTCTCCCAAGAGCCAGTTAGGCATCTCCAAGCAGACCTGAGGTTTTGCAACATGTTGACTGCAACCCTCATGGGGAACGTTTCATTTGGCAACTTGCTACATATGCGCACGTAACAAGTAAGTTTCACAAAACAATACTGTCATTCTACTTTTCCCCATTTGATTTCATTTAAACAATATTTCATATAATTTCAAGACCCATGACGAATGGGTCATGACCGGCAGTTTAAAGACACACCGTAAAACACACGGTACCAGATATTTCCACATGGACATTTCTCTACAACCCCAAACATAATATATCTATTTCCCAACTCATTTCTCAACCAAACTTCCTTCTAAGGAATATGATCATTCTCTTAGTCACTCAGGATCAACATGCTCGAGTCATTTTGGATTCCTCCTTACCCGAGAGTTGCTATTGGTTTTTCCACTGAAACATGTCTCCACCCATTCCAGCCTTTCCATTCCTGCCATCGTAATTCAGACTTTCCCGTAGCTGGGAGCACTCCATAGCCTTGTACCTGGCTCCCTCCTTCCAGAATTTTCAAATGCAGGTGACATATGTTTGAATCACAGACACCAGGGCAGAAAGCTAATTCAGCTCTTCAGTTCCATTTTGACCAACAAAGTAGTACATCAGGGACTGAAATAAATGTGTTTTCATCTACTCACCAAACTCCTTAATAATTAAATTTCAATTCAGGCTGCCTCCCGTTTCTATAAATTCCCAGGATAGAAGCAGCCGTGCTCCGGCTTTGTGGTAACGGCAGGGGGACTCACCCATGTCAGCAGTGACCATGGTGGACTGGTTTTCAGGGATGGAGACAGAGGTCTGGTCTTGGTCCATGCTTCGAGAGTCCTCATTGACTTCCTGTTGGCTCTGGCTGAGTTCTGATCGCAGTTCTGAGTACTCATCTTCCTCCCTGAGAAAAAAGGAGAGCTGGTCATGACTTACGGAGATGTAAGACAAATCCCTAGAGAATATGTCATGTAAGGACCAAAAAAAAAAAAAAAAAAAAAAAAGACATTCAGAGAGAACGCAGACAAATCCTCCTGCCACCACCATCACCTGGACCAGGGATCCTTCAGGCCAAATAGATGGTCCCATTTATGTTCAGTATATGAAACTGAAAGATTGCTTCTGAGTCCACATACATACCCACATACCTAATAAGACTCACCTATTGGCCTACTAGAAACTTTCCCCTTCAAGGATTTCCTGAAGAAATTAGATTTCTTTATCCCCTTAAATTCCAAGGTGAGAAAGAACTAAGGCTACTAGCACTGATGCTGATCAATGCTCTGGTGAGCAGAAGCGGCATGTCCTATCACCTGGAGGTCCCATCACCAATGATGGGCCTTCTTCTCGGAGGACATGTGGAGCTACTGGGACCCAGCACCCCATCCGTGCAAAACAAAATGGATGCTTTGAGAGGCAAATGGAGCAGCACGTCTAAAAAATACCACCCTTAATTTCCCCAAGAACGTAGGCAGAGCTAGAGCATAGGAAAAGAGGACGGAGTGAGGGGAGAAAAGCAGAAACAGTGTGTGAGAGAATACCACTCAACGGTCTATTTCCTTCCATTTGCAATTGCTAACAGGAAGACACATTTAAATGCAGCTATGGTTCACTAGCACAAGAACACCCAACCCTTCTCAACCCTTCATGGATCCCTCAACTCTTGGTTTCGGAATTAATTATAAGCAAGCTAAGAAAACTGAAAACTGTAGTATGCATTTCAAGGCATCCCCATATTTCCTCCCCACACCACCATCGTCACTACACACACACTGGACAGGCAGGGAGAGAGCAAAAGTAACTCCCTTTGAAGCATTTATTTTGCAAGTGAGCTAGAAGAGGACCGTCAGTGGATTTAATTGAGTTGGAAAGCCCACAGGTGCCTGCTCAGCCCCAGGCGAAGTGTGTCTCTGAAGAAAGCTAGGAAGAGAAGAAATCCTCTCAGCCTGGTTTTCACTTTAAGTTTTTGACTCGTGTGTGTGTGTGTGTGTGTGTGTGTGTGTGCGCGCGCGCGCGCGCATGCACGCGTGCAGAAAGACTATAGTACTGGGTTATAGGCAGATCAAGATGGTGAGTGGTGATCCTCTCTGGATCTTGGAGAAGAGGCAACTGCCATTTTAAGCTAGGAAGACACATCTTTAAATCAGAGAAATGTGAGGAGTTCTTCAGACTTCTTGGTTCTCTCAAGAAATCAACAACCTCCTAGGGAAAAAGATTCAGCTGAGCTCCTGCTTCGTAAGGTATTTTTAATAAAAGTCACCCAAATCTGGGTGAACTTTAAATGAATATAAAGCCCTCCTCTGCCCAGCTGTGCAAAATATGAAATAGAATGGGAGTGGTGAAGGCAAAAAAAAAAATAGGTTAATGTTCTATGACTAAGTTAATTATTAGACACCTGCAAAGCTAACAATAATTAGGTTTAGGAAATAAAACAATTAGAAAGTATTCTTAGGTGTCACCTTTATGGTCTAGAGGGCAATGGTGTCCTGGTATATCAGCTCTCCTTTCAATCAGCACTTGAAATTCGGATTTCCGTGAACAGGGGATTTTGTGTATGATGAATACATTACCTTTGTTGCATGGCCAATGTAATCAGCTTCAGCTTGGCTGAGACTGTTTTACAGCTAAGAAAGCGCGAGATATGCTGCTGCTGCATCTGTGGTATAAATGGCATTTGCAAAGTCTTTAAAAGCCACCTTGAACCTCCTGGCTTGGCAGGTTCCAAAACAGATGGTGCCTGCCAAACCTGCTTTGTAAGGAATTACTTCCAGAGATTATTAGCGTGAACTTTATAAAGGAGTGCACAGGGAGGCGGCGAGAGAAGGAAGTGTTGGTTGCAGGGAACATTCCTTGCTGAGGTTGGAGCACAGTCTGAGAATGACACCACACTGGAAATGTCATCTGAGCTAGAAGGCTGTGTTATGAAATGCAAACTAAGGGTCCCCATTCAATGCATCTGAGCACCAAAACAAGGAGAGCAAGACAAAGACCAGATGGGTGCTGTCTTCTGGGAATCAAATATGTTCACACAAGAATTAGTGTGGGACATGGGAGGAGCATGTGGGCAGTGACCAGGGAAGACTTCCTGGGTGGAGCAGCACTCAAGATACGAATCAAGGCGAGGAGATTTTCGACAGGTGATAGGGCGGAAGGACACATGCAAAGGCTCAGAGGAGCCTGAGAGGTGAATTTGTGGAGACTTGGAGAGGAATGTGTGTTTCGGGGTAGCTGAAACCAAAAATGGGGTGCATGATGGGAGCACCAGGCTGGGGGGCAATCAGGTCACTTGTTGAGTGGACAATTTTGATAAAAAAAGAATTTATTGTAGCGAAGGTGGCAAATAATCAGGGTTAGATGGTAGAAATTAAGATAAAATGTGTGAGGTCTAGGAATTCAGGGGAAGGAGTAAATGTTGGGGAGATATTGCCTGGAAGTAGAGAAAACTAGCAGGAGGGAAGCACTGAGGGTCAGTATTCTTGACCCCACAGGGAGAGGCTGAGCACACACGCTCCCTGGGTAGGGTTCCTCCTTATGGTAATCAGAATGCGTCTCTCAGCACCAAAAAAGCAGACTTGTGGAAGGTCAGGCAGGGTCCTATGTCCCAGAGAATGAGGTACAGAAAGGTTAAACCAAGCCTAATATAAAAGAGTTTGTTGTTTCTCCCACTGACTTTAAAGAAATAAAATCATGAGTTGCATGTCCTGATCTCCTAAACATCATCACCAGCATCATTCTGGAAAGGAGGCTGGAATCTGGGACTGGGAAATGACAGTCAATCTGGGATTGCAGCATCTGCCGCAGATGATGCTGGGGTTTCTCTCTCTCCTGTACTGCAGAGAGTTGGTCTATCAAGAGCAGTGGACCAGGAAGTCAGAAACACCCCACCGGCCCACGGCAGTTCTACACAGGCAAAAACCTGAGTTGTGTTTTTAGGGGGTGTTTTGCAGCAGTGTGTCACCAAACTGGTAAAGTTGTCTAGCTAACGACCCGGATCAGCATCTCCAAGTGACTTTACTGTTGTAGATATAGTAACTCTTGGTAGGAGATAACTTACTTCTTTGGGGGGAAAACGTCTCCCAAAAGGACACCAACTGCTAGTACAGTGATGGAAAGGAAGAAAACATGCAAAGGTCAAAGCAGCCCTGGACAGTGTTGCTAAGTGGTTAGAGCATCAGCCCATGCACTGAAGACATTTGGTCAATTCGATTCCTGGTCAAGGGCACATACCTGGGTTGCAGGTTCAATACCTGTCCCTGGTCAAGGCATGTGTAGGAGACAACCAATCTTTCTCACATCGATGTCTCCCCCCCGCCCCCTTCCCTTCCACACTCTCTAAAAAAAAGAAAAAATATCCTTGGGTGAGGATTAACAACAACAACAACAACAACAACAACAACAAGGTCCCAAAATTAATCATATTAACCTAAAAAATCAGAAGCTTGGATAAACTGATAAATGTTAATAATCATAAACTATTGTGGTCATTTCATAATTATGGAATTATAAAGTTCTTAGGTGTTTCTCTTTGGAACATAAAGGATCTGCTCACAGGATTCCAGAAGTACATTATTTCATTCACTTACGAGCATTTGTGAAGTGCTGCCCAGTCGCTTTGCTCAGAGTTGCATTAACTAGTGCTTGTGTCAGCTTAAACAACAAAACAGACACGTTCCTAAGGAGGCAGGCACTGGACTGTGCACCCCAGGGAACCAGCCTCAGTAGAACAGTCACAGGTCAGCCGACTGGAAAAGACCTTTGAGACCATCTAAGCCAGGACCAATACCCAAGATGAAGCAACTAGTTAGTACCACAGCCTAATTTCTCAATTTAGAACCAACAAAACAACACTCTAGTATAGAGGCCTAAGGAAAAAAATGTTTGTTGCAGTTATTTTAAAAGATTCCTTCCTTTATTGGCCAGGAGTGAAATGATCTAATCAGAAAAGGGAAAAGTCCATGAAAGTATAATTCTTATCATGCTTTCCAGAACTCAAGTTGAATTACTGTGGAGTCAGCAGCATTTGATTTAAAAAAAAAAAAAAAAAATGACTTCATTAGCAAACCCCATATCTATTGAATTTGGGAGTGTACATTCATGCCCTGTCACTGGACTGCAGTGATTTGTGAGCCAGACCCAGAAGGACATCTGCCTGTCTTGGCAACTGTCAGTCAACTATGTCCAGCTAACCCTTAGTCGTTTTCTTAAACCACATTCTGTTTTTCTTACAATTAAAAATGGACCTGCCCTGAAGTGACTATCATTCTTTTAAAGAACAAAGATTTTTTAAACATAGGAGGATTGTATTCCTTTTAGTTCTCTTAGAGGATCTATAACAGAAAATAAGTAAAGTCCTGATTCTTCAATTCTACCTCTTCTAATTTTTTTTTTTTTTTTTAATATAGCACAGAGGAAGCTCAGACTCACCTATGGATCTCTTGGTGAATAACTGAACAATCGGATTTTGAAAGGCGGGCCATCCTTGCCATCAGTGAGTACCACTATCAACAAGATCTGAGAGGATTAATATTCAAGAACTTCTAAATGTGCATACCACAGAGGAAGACAGGGAGAGGGAAATCTATCTATATTTTTATTTCAGTATATTTTACTTTTAGGCCAGAAATTAACCCAAACAACATGTTCTGCTGGGAGATAAAGAGGTTTGGGTTACACTGTTTGAGATGCAGCAACATGAAACTAGACAGACAGACAGACATGGGACACAGGCCAAAGGGTGGGCGGAACGACCGGAAGAAAGGCCAGCTTCAGGGTACGGGCCTGAGGTCCTAGAGTCAGAATTACGTTCGAGTAGACGGAGACTTTGGATAGTATCTCGGCCCCCTAACGAGAACACTTGGCAGACAAAGAGGCAGAAGGGCTGGGTGCCGGTGCCAAGGTGCCAGA